TCAACCACGCTGCACTCTGCCGCTTTGTGAGAGGCTCATATTGAAAACACTATGTCTCGTCATCAGAAAATCGATTTTGTAAATTTTGTATCACTTTAGGCCGACCGTAACATGTCTTTGCAGTGTTCCACTCTGGCATGTTTTTCATCGCCTGACAGCGCGTGCGGTAGAAACCGCGCACAGACCTTCCGTTTTCCCAAATCCTCGGTCAAAATTTGATGCACAATACTTTTGGTATTTCAAAAAGCTCCTAGATGAGTCTTGCAGAAACACATCTGTCTGATTCAAGGATTTCGGTCACTTTTTCCACATTTTCTTCAGTGCGACTTGTTCTCGGCTTTGATGCACGTGGAGCGTCTTCAATGTCCTCCCTGCCGTCACGAAATACAACATACCATCGAAAAATGTTCGAGCGCCTCAAAAAAATCACTACCGTACACACTTTCATCATTTCCTACGCTTCTCCGGCTGTTTTGCATAACTTCAAACAAAATTTGATGTTGGCTCTCTGTTCAACCGCCGTTTTCCGACGAGCATCAGAACAGTAATGTTACATTCAAGGTCAGAACACTTGATGCAGCAATGCTTGCGCTTTGAAATTATAGACGACCACAGCTGAAGCTTCAAGAATCTTAACATCACAACTCGCCAACAGATGACACTGCAGGGCAATGCATTTTATGGAACCTGAAGTTTTGTTGCTGGGTTCACAAGAGTCCTCTGCTGGTCCCTGTCAAAAAATCTGTCCAGGCCCGAGACCTTTTGTGACATTTTGTAACAAGCTTATTTCTTATGGTGAGGAGTTTCTATCCCCAAGCCCAACCCCCATGCTGGAGGACCACCCCTTGTCGACTATTCATTACTGCTTATTCAATATATTCGCAACTACCCTCCATGTCTGGAGACTGTCTCCTCCATCTGCAACTTGAGGATGTGCCATGCTGCTGTGAAAAGGGACCCATCTAACGTGGAACCAAAATGGCTATTCCGAAAAATGTATGATATAATAAAATATGAAGTAGGAACAGTGTTGAGATGCAAGCAGTTTAATAAAGAAACGGCACAGCCTAAATAAGTGCTAAAGTAGGGTTGAAAAAGATTACACTGCTGTTATTACTCTTTATGAGTTATAGAATGGGAAGAAGTGTACTTTAATTAAGAATTTCAAAGTTAATTTTGTGTATCCGATTAAAAGTATATTATCCTTCTGTTCTGAGTATTATATTGATCAATTCTTACACCAGTAAATCTCTGTTTCACCTGGTGAGCTAGTTCTGAATGGTAAGGATTTGAAGATTTAGAAGTAGATTGTCATGGTTTATCTGATATATATCCTGTAGTAGAGCCGAAATTTGTAGCAAATGCCTTCCAAGTGAGGTTTAAGTCCGCACCAACTTGCTCATGGAAATGAGTATCATGTGCGTTTCATTATTCAATAACATTGACGTTCTGTATTGTTTTGGGGCTCTCTATCTCTGGACTTTCTAAAATCCTGACAGGTGAGGTTATAAAATAGAGAAGTGAGTGACAAGCCACAACTTTAGGTTGTATTTGGTTGAATGTGTAATTAATCTAACAGTTTTATAAAGTTTCAGTGATCTTAATTACCCACGTGACTTATCGAGATTATTATTTTGTTAAATATCCCTTTCTAAAGCATATTCCATGATCCTGGATACAAGGGTGCCCAAGGTCTCAACTTGGACAATGTTGCATTGATGTTCTCGATTAAGATTGGTAGAATGCTCTGTCAGCAACACTAGGTGGTGATGACAAAACAACAGATGTAAATATGTTATGTCTCTTGTGAAGTGAATTATGACACTCATAGTTGCAGCAAAGGTCGCAGTTAACGTGCAAAAGAGTGGTGGGAGTTATGGTTATCACTTGAGTAATAAGTTCAGGGCTGTGTGTTATGGATGTAATTTTATGCATGGTGCAGAGAATTTGAAGACGTGCAAGTGATGTTAAATGAACCCCACATTACCCAGTCATACATACTGTAGTTACAAAGGACAGTGATGCAAAGATTTGTGGTCTCATTCAAGGCAGTCACAGGAGTTTTATGTAACATTTGTCCACTACAGTCAAATTAGTATCTGTAGCACTGAACATTTTTGCAGGAGAAATATGTTGACACCAAGCCAGCTGGCTGTGCAGTATTTAGTGATATCGAAATGTCTTTATAATAACGCGACAGTGAGACGATGTTATAGTCACTACATTTTGATTTATGGACTGGTGGTACTGTCACAATTTTCCTAAAGGCAACGCTTATTCCAATGTAACTACCAGACTTAAAGTCTTGTGATAAAGCATGTCAGAGGACCCAAGTCTCACATCAGAGTTAAAGTGTGGTTCATGATGCGTAGTTGGGTTGAATGTCATCCTACAGAACTCATTAGAATTTGCATGATGGTACTTATATACCTGCGAGGTGGTATCGGAATGTTCCCAGACTATTATTGTTGTAACTGCCTCGGTGAAATAAGATGAGAGAGAAGGCTAATGTCACGCTCCCATAAGCCTATTGCATCAGTCTGCCATGTGACACTGCACTGTAAAAACACATTGTTTTTTACATGAGTATCTTTTTTTACATGTTTTGTATTCTCTGTGATAGATGCCAAAATCGAGCAGTGTATTTGCATCAAGTTTTGCGTGACGCTCCATAAATCCACTGCCGCAGCCCTTGAAATGCTTTGTGAGGCTTTTGGAGAATATTCTTTATGCCAGACAGCAGTTTTTGCATTCAGTTTTCAAGCTTGGTCAAGTGTCAGTTGATGATGACAAACGTTCAGGGTGAACAAGCACCAGCAGAATGACAGAAAATGATTTAAAAAATCGAGAACTCATCAGTGAAGACTGTTGCTGAACAATCCATGAACTTGCAGACACCATTGGGATCAGTTATGGAGTTTGCCAGGAGATCTTAACAGAAAATTTGAACATGCACCACATTGCTCCTTCATCTCAACAACACTCCCACCATGTCCCTGAAAACCACAGAGTTTGTTACCAACAGCAACATGGTTATTGTTCCCCATCCTCCCTACTCACTGGACTTAGCCCTCTGTGATTTTGCTTTGTTTCCCAGATTGAAAATGAAACTGAAGGGATGACATTTTAAAGGAGATGGCAGCCAAAATTAAGTAAGTTAAGTCAGCATTTCTTTCTTGACCTAGTCCAGGAACTTTCCGATACACCTCATATGGACAATCTGGCTGCACTTGGATATCTGAGTAAGAATTGGACCATGCTCATAGTGGGTTTGATACAAGGAAATTGGATTCTTTGTTACTCAGTGTAGAAGTGTAAATTGTTATCTCTGTAATCTGCTTAAAAAGGCAGTGTTGTCCCTGTACTTAACTAATTAAGCAATATGAAGACATATGGGGGAGTGGATGTATAGATCATAGATCCACTTATTCTTGACCTCGGCACTAGTTTGAGGTGAGGGTCAACTTCACACCTCGGCTGTTTTACATATAGGGGTAGAGCCCCCAGTAGAATGGTGCCAGCAAAAGAATTCATCATTGTTTTTCTCTCGACCATTTCCTGCAAAGCTACAGTACAGTCACAGGTTTGAAAATATGTTTTATTGTAGTTTCAGACATCAGTAGAACTTGTAGTGGCAGCATACCTTTAACATTGCAAATTGAATGCAACTCCTTTATTTGTTAGCATTTCACAAAACTGCTTCATAAAAATCCATTTTATAACTGCGAAGAAGTTTGATATATAGTAAAGTTCTGAATGTTTTCTATTGCTCTGTCTCTGCAACTTATGGTGGTAAACATGATCAGTTATTCATTTCAGCATCAAAATGTCATGTTCAGGCTGTTCGGTGCATTTCATAAATTGTATGTTTGTATTTGAGTTAACGATTACATTATATTACACTGTGTAATTCTGTGTGATGTTACAGTTAAAACCAATTGTCAGTAGATAAATACGTTAGAAGTTGGAATGATGAATTATGAAAATGCGATTAAAAATCTAGGAATTTTTCAACTTGATGTAACCATACTAAATTGAACTACAGTCATTCAAATGACAGTGAAACATGTAACTGATTGTATTTGCCTTTTGGGGGATGTGTGCGCAGATGAGAAAAAAAGTGTACATTTTAAAATTTACGCATACAAATCTGTATGCTTCGATTTAAAGTATGTAGTAAATGTGTGGATTCTGTTTCTGAGATTTTCATGTTTCGTATCAATTTTTATGGTGCTTCCTACTATTGAATTCATAGGATTGTAATTGTAGCATTCTCTATACTATAATGGTTGTCTCTGCACATTTATTTCTTAGTTTGAAGCTTAATGCCGTTTTAGTGTGTTTCAAATAACCCGTGAGAAGTATCACTAGTTTACTGTACGAAAATGTTTTGCATTTCAATTATTTATTGTCATACATTAAAAAGAAGCTAATGCCTACTCTAACAACACAGTGAAATGTGTTTACTTTCTCCAAAGCATTTCAAATTTGTATGTGGCTAAGTAATGTAGTGAGTGGAATAGTTAACACTATATTATTTTGTAAGTACATTTTGTGCCTCAGTTCTGGAGTACTTTGGGTTCTTAATGGAAACTTGACTTTCTTTTTGCTGTTTTAGTAGCCTGGTTTAAGGATTTTGCTACTGAAATCTTGTTTATTGGCATGCTTATGTATCCTGAACTTTTTTGTATGTGTGTTTGTACAGTAGTATGCATTCAGTAAGTATTCATAAAGCAATGGAAGGAAAGAATTTGAAAGAAATAGATTGGAATTATCAATGGATATGAACCCTGACAAGTTATTTTAGTAAATAAGCATGTGGTGTTTCTATTATGTAAATATTAAGAGATTCTAAATGTGAATTTTAACCATTATTTTTTTATTATGTCATTGTATCCATGAAGTAAATTTTCAGGTTCTCATGCAGAATATATACAGAGTATATTCAAAGTGATCTCATGCTCTTGTTCTTGAAAATAATCTATTTTATTGTTTTTCAGAAAGAGTTAAGCCTGTCTAGAAGGAGCAGCCGAGTGTCTCATAGAAAAAGCTTTGTTTCTACAACATCACCAACACTACCTCGATGTCACTCGCCTATCTCAGGTTTGTTATATTGTAATCACTAACAGAAATCAAAGAGGTCAAATAACTTCTTTGTGAGACATGAATAAGATGAAAAATAAAAATTACAGAAATGTTTTAAGATAGATGGAAAATTGCATTAGGAATATTTATAGAATCATTATCACAACATGTGCTGTAGTAGTATAGTCTTGACTTTACAGAAGATTGTCTGACCTCACTCATTACAAACTAGAGTTTTAATGTAATTCATTCTTCTTAGCTGTGTAGGATAATATTTCCCCATAATTAAGATGTAAATTCTGAATGACAGAGGTTGAGAGAGGTCGAGAGATGAATACATAACACCACTTTTTATATCACCTCAAGTCTTCAAACTATATTTTCTGAATGAAACTGCTATAAGGAAATGCAGTGGTATAAGTAATAGTTTTGCCACCACCAGCTAAATATCAGAATTATTTAAATACGGTTGCCAAATTATGATAATTTTTATTTATTGTTACCTATTTTTCATGTAAATTTCCAAAATGTGGATTTTTTTTTATATTATGGAAGTCATAAATCACATGCACTGTGGAAAGATAAAGGAAACTAAGATTAAAAAATTGAGGTAAAGTATGAGGGGCAGTCAAATGAAAACAGGTCAGAAGCCAAAACATATTAAAAACATTTCTTACCTCAAAAGTAATCTCCAAAACTAGTAATGCATTTATCCCACTGGGAGATAATATGGTCAGTCCCTTCCTTGAAAATGTTTGTGGGCTGTCTACGGAACCACATCTTTACCCAGCCACACACGTCTTCGTTTGATGCAAACCGATGTCCACGAATGTATCTCTTCAGGTCTCCAAAAATGTGAAAATCACATATCACTTCCATGACTGTTAGTGACAGAAGCATTGCCAGCCAAAGTAATGTAGAATAAACTGAAACCATGCAAACTTTAGGATTAGTTTTCTTAATTAACTATGCTTTCTAATGTACTTTATAAGTAATATTGAATATAAAATATGGAGGGGGTGATTTTGAAACAGTGTGTGCACACCACACTAATGTGTACATATACAGTATTTTGAAAAAATATATACATTTCATCGGAGACGTTCTTATTTTGGGAGAATATTTAATTCCTGTATCACACTTCATACGATCACAGTAAAGATAAATCTGAGTCTCACTCATTCACTTCTATCTATAATGCAAATACAGCATTTTATTTTAAATCACATTTACAGTTCATAAATGTCATTAAAACATTTTCTGCCTATTTGTGGCAACATATTTTGGCATCAGGCAACCGTTAATTGATCAAAATTGAAAATAGCAGAGGAGAGTGCGGACACACGTTCTCGAATACAGTGACATGCAATAATAACATGTAAATGTATTGACGTGTGAGCATATGCAGTGATTGATTTCGGTCAATGAACAGTTGCCTGATGATGTCCTTGTGAGGCCGAAACATGTTGCAAGAAATAAAGAGAGAATGTGATTTTAACTATATTTATGAATTGTAAATAGCATTTTAAAATAAGACGCTGTGTTTGCATTATAGACGGAAGCAAGTGAATGAGTGAGATATTAATGAAACAGGATACTGAAATATAATGATATTATTAAATTTGAGTTTTGTCTTTAGTCAAGGTATATAGTTCAGGACTTTGATTTATTGTATTTGTTTAGCTTTTCCACCTAGTTAGTTCTTTGAAATTCTGAACACTTTTTAAAATCTTTCTGGATTGAGTTAATTTTTATCTTTACAAAGAGAATTGTCATTCTTTGCAGGAAGTCCACTGGAAAGTCCCAGAATGTCACCAAGTCAACATTTTGCATTTGCACCTGCGAAAAGGTAATAAGAACCATTTACTTTTCAGATTGATAATTGTTGATTGTCTCATACAGTATTGCAGTGATTTCACTGTTTATAAGACATGCCATGATTTCAGAGGTAAATTAAAAAAAATAGATATAGTCGTGATCATGCAGTACTTCATTTAATATTAACTAAAATTATAAGGAAAAAGCACATCAGATGCACGAAAGAAAGAAATTAAAGACACCTGCACATGATTATTAGCAGCCTAAAGTATTAGTATGTAAAGAGTTAGTGATTATGCATTATTTTATAGTTGCTGTTGTCTGACATGCATACCATCCCTTCTCAAAGCATACTGAAGCAGAAGAACGAGTTTAGCTTCTGAGTAATCACATTTTGTGAGTTCAGTATTTTCTTATTACTTGTAGATCTTTGATATAAGGTGATCTTAACAGATATTATAAGGGAAAGGCTGTCTTATGTTAATAGAAAATGTAACTATAGAGGATATATGAGAAATTGTTATGTTTGGATTTGTGGTATGTAATAATTAGAGAGAGAATAAACTAAAAAAGTAAATAAAGGTATCCCCATTACAGGCCATTGAGGCCCATAACGTTGTGAGATGTTGAAGCTCCCACATTTTCTAGACATTCGGCTCAGAGATGGCAGTAAGGTTGTCAGCTTTATGTGCTGGCCGCCCTTTACCCCCGGGAATATTCCTGGTACTCATTTCTGTTAGAGGCTGAGTTGACCCCAGTGCCATATTGCGACTGGAAGGATTAGTGCAATTGAAAAAATCCACCTCATCGGGATTCGATCCTGCGACCTTCCGGAGTACTTTATCAAAGTATGAGAAATAACAAGGAGGTGGGAGTTTTATATTACATAATTTTAGTAACTTATACTTTCTGGGACTATAGTGATAAGGACTACAAGCAAGAAGAGCTTCTTTGGAAAAATTAACAGAAAGCGTATCTGTGATGCAAAAGCTGTTCTAAACAACAAATTTATCTATTGTATAAACCATCATTCTCTACACAGTCTGTAATTCTTCCATTGTGTACTGTGAAACAGGTCATAGAATTATTCAGTCAGTGGAAATACATCTTCTGCAACTGCATTAGCTGTTCATGATTTTTACTGTTCAATAATTAAATCAGGCAGAAAGCAACATATTTATATATTTGGTGGGTTTGTCCTCCCCCACCCACTTTACATTCCCTCATATGTCTTTGAGATGCTTATCTTATCTCATCTCTTGATGAATCCCTTACTATAGGAAGATTAGCTTTTGCATATGGAGTTTAGTGGATTACTTAAATGTGTACTTCTGCCCCTGTGTGTGCTCATTTAGACCTGCCAACTGTATTCAGCTCCCTTTTTCTTTTTTGCTGTTCTGTTTAATAGACTGCCTCTGTGGTCTAGTGGCCAGAGTTCCTGGCTACAGATCCAGAGGTCTGGGTTCGATTCCCTGAGCTACCATATTTTCTGAGAAGTAGTGGGTCTCGAATGGAGTCCACTCAGCCTCATGATGATAACTGAAGAGCTATTTCAAGGAAATAGTGGCTCCGGTGCATAAAACCAAAATTAACAGCTGTGGGGATTTGTTTCGCTGACCACATGACACCCTCTATCCGCTAAAGTTGGCACTAACTTCACTGACAAGCGGCAGTCGCTCAGTCGATATAGTTCGCTTGTAGACTTAAACCACGGAGTTTGTTTTTGTTCTGTTTAAGAAGAGATGCAGAGTAATTCATCTCTTCATCTTTAACCATGTTTCCAACTGACTGCAGTTAGATACCAGCCTGTGAGCGGATTTTCTTCTGGAAGGAAATCATATCCCACTGCAAGATCTAATGGGGCCCTTCAGGATTTCAGATTGTCATACAGATTATATTACTTAAACCTCTGAAACATAGTGGTTACTATATGTAGTACAGACTGTATTTATGTTTTTCCTATAATTCTCAAAATATGCGGTGGTCATTTCTCTAAAGAACATTAACTTGTTGATCTTGATTTATTCTAACAGTCTTACAGTGCATACATTTATTCACCTTACTCTTCTCTCTTGCACTACATGTTTCAGCACAAAAGTGCCATCTTCATCAGACGATGGTGGATGACACAGAATTACTGGGTTCTTGGACTTCCTGACGATGGAAAAAGTCCAAAAACCAGGTAATTCTGTGAATCTGATGAGTAGTTGATCTGTTATAGCAAAGCCCTAACTGATGATCTCCAACAGTTTTGTATACATGTGAACTTAACCTTGAGAGAAGGATACTGGATAAAATTTTGTATGAAGTTGATGACTGTGATATTCCTTGGTGATTACTGCAGTCAATTTTATTGCCCTTCTTTTAAATTGTTACAGTAATAGACTCCTTCCACTGCTCAGGCAGTTCTTACTTATTCCAAATACAGATAAAAAGTAGTGGCAACACCTCTGTAGTTCTGAAATGACCTTATTACATGATGTAAACACACTTACATTCCTTCAATATAATCGCCCCCCATGTGTACCACCTTCTGCCAAATTTGTGGAAGGCGTCGTACACAATCAGCGCGTCCACTTCTGTTGATGTCCAGCAGTGACCGCCCTACAGCACGAATAATCTCCTCTTTTGTGTTGTAACGTGTCCCTCGCAGTGGTTCTTTCATTTTGGCAAAGAGATCATAATCGCATGGACTCATATCGGGTGAGTATGGCGGATGTTGCAGTATCTCCCATCGCCAGCGGTGAAACAGATCCTTGACAGCGTCAACAATATGAGCCCTTGCATTGTCATGAAGGATTGTGAGGTTCGTTGCCAACAAGTGTCGTCGCTTTCTCCTGAGTGCTGGACGAAGATGATTATACAGAAAATTGTAGTAGTAGGCAGCGTTTATTGTCTGTCGTTGAGGTACAGTGTGGTGCAGTATCACTCCATCAGTGTCATATGCCGCAATGAAAATCGCCTTCACATTACTCTGTCTAGGGCGCACTTTCTTTGGACGAGTAGAGCTAGGATGCTTCCATTCATTTGATTGTCGCTTCAAGTGCAGTTCGTATAAGCGAGCCCAAATTTCGTCCAGAGTGACGATCCTTCCAAGGAAGTCGTCACCTTCCCTCTGGTACCGGTCCAAGAAGTCCTGTGCAATTGCATAACGTTGCCATTGTTGCACCTCGGACATTGTATGGAGTACCCAACGCGCTGTAATTTTGCTGTATCCAAGAATAACGTGCAGAATGTGGAGCACGGTTTTGTGACATACGCAGCTAACTCCCACGCAGCCCATCGACGATCGACATCCAGCAAAGAAGCAAGAAGCTGAATTGTGTGGTTGTCAACATGGGATCGTCCTGAACAACGGCTGTCCTGAATGGCATCCCTCCCTTAACGGAACAATTTCACCCATCGTGCTACTGTGCGATATGGCAAAGCAGCATCAGCACATGCTTCTCGCAGGCCCTGATAACAGTTTTGTGCACTACTACCTCGTGCAACTTCAATTTGTATCCAAGAGCGTTGTTCTTGTTTCGTAAACATGTTGTTAGGGTGCTTGAACTGGGCTCCTGCACTTCAAGACGATGCACAATGGAACTCAATGAAACTCAACCAGAGCCACTCACTGCACTACTTCAACTGAACTTCTGCTATCAGCTACAGACGGTGCTAGTGCCACCTGACGCACATCTTTCATGTTGCAGCAGTGTTGCCACTACTTTTTATCCAACCCTTGTAGAATTAATAAGTTTACAGATCTGAGAACATAATTGTTTCACCCCTATTTGAATTACTTCAGCTGGAATTTAATCAGTACCTGGTGATTTATACCTATTTACCAAGTTTGCAATGACAGTTTCAACCTCAAAGAGATGGAGCACAGCTACTAATGGCTCAGCTGTATGCACTTGCATTTCCATGAAATATGAACTCAGTCTCAATACAATTTGGTCAGAACTGATATAAAAATGAAGCTCTAAGTAACAGACTATGATATGCAAACTTTAAGATTATGGCTTTATAGGATCTGAACACTGCAATCTGGTACCAGACTATATGGCATCACAACCAAGAGAACCATAATCTCAATATATATGTCACCATGAGAACCCCAGTTCTCATATGTAAATTAATTATACAGGCTCAGGATAGAGCTCATTTCGTGGGCACAGTGCTGAACCTTCAGTTTCAGTGATACCACGAAGTTGATTCATGCCATAAATGGAAATAGTACACTGTGTTCTGTTCAAACCTCCCACATTTAAATTAATCATAGTGAACAAATTGTGATAAATTATGGATTATAATTAACACTAGATGAAAGAAGAACTCAAAGAATTTTATTTCCGTTTTTCTTCGATGAAGCTCTAGTATCTGGCTGTGTATACCTTGACATGCTAGAACAGTTCCTGTATCCCCAGGTAGCCGATCTGCAGTCTAACATAATCTTCCAACAAGATGGAGGCCCCCCACGTTGGGGTCTGGATGTTTGGAGGTCTCTCAGTGCCACCTTCCAAGGTCACCGGATTGGATGTGGCGGACCAATTCGGTGGCCACCACGTTCACTGGACCTCACTCCACTTGATTTCTTCCTCTAGGGTTACGTGAAGGACCATGTGTTCATGCCTCGAGTGAATGGCCTCCCAAATTTACGGGCCCATATCCGTGAAACGATTGCTACTGTACCAATGGACATGTTGGAAAGAGTGTGGCAAGAAATTGAATACAGATTAGATATTGTTCATGCTACCAATGGTGCGCATGTAGAGGTTTATTAGTGTGTCAAAATTTTTTGATTTCTTGTATTTCCTGTAGCTTCATTTTCCTACCATTCAAACTTTCTGTTCTAAGATCTGATAAAATGTTGGAGGTTTGACTGGAACATCCTATATTTGATTTATATACAAGAACAAACAAGATTAAATAATTGTATGTGTACTAGTTCATTAAATGTGTGGACTGTATAAATTAGGCTCCATTTCTATATTTACAGGGGTGATGGAAGACGATGGTCAGTGGCTTCATTACCATCCTCTGGTTATGGAACAACTCCAGGAAGCTCAAATGTCTCAGTAAGTGTTGGTATCATTCTTCATCTACAAATTCAGATTGTGTGCAGCAAGTAACAAAATGTTGTTACATGTTGCTGGCCAGAAAAATGTGCTGCACACACAGAATTTAACCCTTTTAAGCATAAAAATTATCTGAATAGTATTGTCCCATGAAGTAGTGACTGTAGGTGGGGTTTGAATTGGTGATTGGATTTATTGACGTCATTAACACACAGTTCATGACCATACTTATTTATAGTGCCATCACTGATCTCCACGTTTTACAAATGACTACAGCACTTGCCAAGTCTTTTCAGTCTGCTGTGTCTTCACCAGTCTTTCCCTGGTAACAGCATCTGACAGTAGAGAGTTTTCAGGTTCTACACTCACTTTGTTGCCTGCTGGCTTTCAACTGCACCAACCAAACTCAGACTCCCTTACCACTCTCTTGAACTTCCAAAACCACCTTGGTTATAAAACACCATTTTTGTACTCCAGTCGCTTCTGTGGGAACATGTTTGTTTGTGAAGGCATTACTTAGTAATGGCTGTGTATACTTCTTATTAAGAATCTGTTGCCTAGACTTGGGTGTTTTTTCAACTTTGTTTTGAAATTGTTACTCAGTATTGGTCCTACACGCTACATTGCTCCCTCCTTATGGTTATTCGTCCTAAATAGCACACAGGCATACCACCATTTCTTCTTTTTTGAGGGCTGTGCTTGTGACGTCTGGTCGGTTACATCTTTCTTCACCCATAACTCGGTTCTCATGGTGATTACTCCTCAACTGCTCCCACTGCTCCCACCTTAATGCCACTCATCCCAAGCGGTTCCCTGGTAAGGTATCATTCGGTCCAGGTGTTCCCCCATCATTCTCCTTTACCGATCGGTGAAGGCAGAAGTTCCAATACGGGCCAGTGCTCCTACATCTTCGGCTCTTACTCCCTGTGCAGTCTCTTCTTTGTTTTGGAGGGGGCTAACCCCTCAACACTGTCCTGACACTTTTCACAGTCTAATGAAAGTCTAGACTATTTGCTTTGCCACTTCCAACGAAGTCCTGACTATTGCTTCGTGACCTCCAACTCATGCATCCTGTTGTGTTATAATATACAATTTCTTTATTAAAACTGTCACAACACAATTATATTATAGTCAGTGCCTAGTTTGGCTCTGCTACATGTTTCGGCTATTAAAAGCCATCATCATCTGACTCCAGAGATTCAAGTTTCGAAGAAAATCAGTCATCTCAATAAATAGAATAAGAAGTTGACATTATTGTCTAAAAGAGTGCTCTGTTCCTCTAAACACTGATGTATATAGCATTTGATGCCATCTGATGATAGAAATACTGACATTGAAATGATCTGTAGCTGTGGGAGCATTAATGGAAATGTGTTGAGCGAGTCACATTAACTTGTGTGCAGATGGTTAAATAGGGCGGATTATATGATGTGTGAATTTGGCACATTTAACTGCTTAGCTTTATATTTTTTACCCTCATTTTATTTTCTTCTTTAGTCCCAGTGTTCAAGTCAGGAGAGACTGCATCAACTTCCGAACATCCCCACTTCAGAAGAACTGCAGATGCTGACATCTCACTTCTCATCCAATGACAGCAATCCTAGCATTGATGATGAAGGGAGAAGATCTCCATTTCATCGGCCTCGATCTCGGAGTCTGAGGTAAAAAACAAATTAATGTAGTGTACTGGGAGACATCTCTGAGTTATCCTTTATGCATCTTTGTGCTTCATACTTGTATTCTTTTTCATTGCTCATCTGTTTAATTATTACCCATAGTGTAACAAGTTTAAGAACAATTTTTATTTTCCTTTCATTTGTTTGTGTGATTTATGTTGAGTCCCTCCCCCAAATTCTTCAGAAATTTCCAGCTTTGATATGCTAAAGAAAGTGAAGTTATCAATTTCTAATTCAGAAGGTGAGAGTTCAGATCTGTTCAGAATTAAGAGTTTGCATTAGAAACATAATGGTTTTTCAGTTATAGTATATGTAATTTTTATTGGAATATTATGCATTGTTTCATTTTGATTTGGTCTTGGCAAAACCTGCCTGAATGTATGTGTTGAAGGTGAAAAACTGTTACATGTTACAATGCTGATTTTCACATAACTTTGAAATTATATACTTAAATTTTCACCATCATCAGGATCATCATTATTCATCAGAGACTGTGCTTTAAAAATTGTCCTATGCTAGATTCACTTTAGCTGCTGATGTTGTTTGCAGGGACACAGACATATTAATAGCCAAAACTGGTTTTCTTAATCATATTTTATAATAGTTCTTTCTTCATATTAAAATATTAATTGTATGCAGTATGAATGTATATGTATACATTTTTTCTCATCAGCTGATAACTAGCGTGGTTGAACTTGTTGAATTTCTAGCTACTTTCCTTATTTTTAAAAAATAAAAGTAGTCTGTGTGTTTGTATGTGTATCCCCACCTAAAAACTTTTGAATGCCTGAACCAGTCTTTGTGAAACTTGCTATGTCTATCATGCCACCTGTTCCTACTCAGAGACATGTTTTGTAAATCCATCCCCTCAGTAATACCAACATTGCAGCTGCTCAAATTATTTGAGTAATAACCTTGTATTGCTTGAGTTCCCGGACTGATAGTCATGAAACCTGATATGTATATCACGCTGGTTGAGACCATCTTAACAGTGTATATCATAAATCCCCCCCCCCTCCCCATTAGTAATACATAATATTGCTGCCTCTCAGAATGTTGACATAATAACATTAATATTATTTCATTTTTCAAACCAGTCTTCATGAATATTGATATATATTTTATATCATCAAAGACCATCTGAAAGGTGTACTATAAATCACTCCCATCAGTCATACCAACAGTTGGCTTCATTATGCATACATATTAAAGTTTTCTTTCTTCTTGTCATGTCATGTACTCAAAATAGTGAAAGAGTCTTTATGTGTATGTGTTTAATTCCATGTTTACTCATTCTTGTTTTGTAAGTGGCCTTCTGGTTGTTGTATAAGCACATAAATAAATAAAGAATTTGATTGAACTGTTATTATATCTTCTGGGATGTAATGTCATATGGTTATTGAAAGGCAACACCTCCATCTTCAGCCTTGAAGAGTAAGCAAACCAAGAAACCAACATGAAGCAGGCAGCACTACACATTGTTATATCCCAGAAGATAAGACCGTTGTCTTTTCTTCTCGTTGATATATGTGCTCTGAATGAAATAGAAAGTGGTGTTTAGGTTAAGAGTTTTAATTCATTTGTGACAGTAAATTGTAATTTACTCAGATGAAAATATCACATTTCTATTAAATATGTGCTGCCTTCAAAGATTTTTTGTACATTTGCCACTATGACTGTAGTTTAAGGAGTTAGTAGTGACAGTAGTATTTGCCATGACAGTTGAAGCACAATGTTTTCCTTCTTCAGTTCGTTTTTTTAATCACATGAGCTTGATGCATGCAGCAAAAGAAAGAAAGTGAAAAGAGGTGTCATACTGAAGTATAAATCAATTTAAGAAATAATACAAATCTGGCATGTACTTGGTAAAGTATAATAATATGAAGTAGCTGCAGGTTTCAGTTGCACTGTAGATAAGTGGTGAAATGTCTTCCATAAGCTAGTACTTATCAGTCAAGAAGCCAGTGAATTTTGACAACCTTAAATACATACTCCAGTCCTTTATTCTGAGGAAGCTGAAATTTACAGTGAACATCTGAAACATTATAAATGTTAAAAGAGTATCAGAGTTTTTGATACTTGCATTCCCATTGCCTCTTCTGTCCTGCAGTAAAGTAGCTGGACTGTGGATCTAACCATTCACTTCTGTCACTGTTTTTTCTATGACTCGCTTGTACCTTTCTGGTGTGGCTCTGTTACCAGAGTGTCATTAGTTTTATTGGTTGGTTGATTTGCCCATAAGTCAGTTAGAATAAAGATGTTTATTCATAGTGTTGTATGTAAAATTCTCATATTCTTAGTCTTTACATTGCTTTTCTTAGATGTTATTCATATTTTATTAGAGAATTACTTGAAGAGAAATTGCATAGTGGGTGTAAGTCCAAGGCTCTGTAAAATTAGTTCAAAGCTGTTCAGGATTTTTAGGGTTATCGTTTCAAAACAGTGTGTTCTCATTGTATACGGAATTAGGAACAGTGCATTAATAGCAATTAGTCCATATTGACTTTGTTGAATTTATTATATTCTTAGTTCATATTTGCAACATAATTTCACATGCTTTTGTTTACCTTGGGAAGTTCAGTCTTTTGTATAACAAAATTAAGTGTGTGAGATACATTTGTTATGTATGTTACTGCAGTTAGTTTATCGTTTTTGTCTTCTCTCAGTATACATAATTACGAATGAAATTCGTATTTTCAATTTGCCTTCCAGTTTACTACCTGTTTTTGCTCATGAATTGTGTGTGGCTTGGATAGCTTTCAGTTAGGTTGAATAGGATCCTATTTAAGATTTGAGGCTTTCACGGCGGTGACTATGAAGAAAGCAGTCTTCTGGAATTTGGCACCGTGTATATGTGGTGTAACCTACGTTTCGGAGGAACGTATCGCCTCCATCTTCAGGGTAGAAGGAAAAAATGTAAGAAATCCACAAGCGAAGAGACCGTGAGAACCGGTACAAGCAGACTGCTTTTACCAGTTCTCACGGTTTCTTCGCTTGTGGATTTCTTATATTTTTTCCTTCTACCCTGAAGATGGAGGCGATACGTTCCTCCGAAACGTCGGTTAACACCGCATATACGCGGTGCCAAATCCCAGAAGACTGCTTTCTTCAGGATCCTATTTGTTTCGCAGGAGAATTGGCAGTATAAATTGAAAAGAGTCTTGTTACATTTCTTCTTCTGCACATGTAAAGTAGTCCCACTGTAACATATCTGTCTAGGTATGCTTTTGTTTGTCATGCACCAGTCTTTTGCATTTAGAGTAATTGCACATGAACTGTCCTGAAGGTCTCAGGGTTAAACTGTAATATGGTGAACCCTTGTAAAAGACAGTTGTTGGTGTATATATGTTTTCTATATGGTACAGTCTCTCTTATACAGCAACAATTTTTTATTGCCAGGTTTCAAATGGATATCTAGTGATACTAGTGACAGTTACTATGTAGTAGTCAAGATAGATTAGCTCTGGATTGATAGATTACAGCAGATTGGCAAAGCATGATAAGAATAAATCATCACCCAAGTTTAAGTTCAGCTGGGGTAAATTAATTTGTGTTAGATTATTGGAAACACTTTTGCTAAAATAAAAATTTTGTAAGTTGCTTTTGTGTTGTTCCATGATATAGCAGAAGAGACTTGTTGGTACACTTCTGATAACACTTTGTGTGCTCCTATACTAAATCAATGGCATAACATGCTGCTGTTTGCAAGGTGCTCCCACAATGCAGCATACCTAATTTCACTATAAATAGATTTCCAATACTCTTGTTAATAAAGTTTGATTTTGTACTTGTATCTACAACTGCTGACACTATGTTTCTGAATGTTAATAGTACCTGTTTCTTTCTTTTTCTCTACTTGGCTGCCATAGCTTGGCCTGGCTCTGTATCGCCACACTAGAGTAAGCTTCTTTTTATTGTTTTTTTAAATTTAAGGATGTTCATCCGTCTTGTTCTAAATATCTGTAATTCTGTATTTTTTGCCCCAAACCAATGAAATTTTTTTTTCAATATTGACATTCTCACAACAGTGACTAAGAAGTGTTCTGTCATCTAGGACATGATGCCATGTAGTCTTTGTTCATTCTTTATTCAAATCTTGTTTCAGAATTTAATCATTAAATTTATCTTTGAAACTGACCTATCTTCCATATAATTACCATAGTTTAAAGACTATTATAATACAGCATAATAATAAAGAGAAAGTCTGTGTAAAATACTACAAAAATAATCTCGTCATCAGTGTTCTAGATTAAAATTGTTAGTATGCTCTTAACATTTTTTATTCACTGTACTTAATCATTCACACATATAAAGCACTATTCTCTGACCACAGTTTGTAACTCTTGCCTTAAATGGCATTGCCTGACCAATGTCATGTGATTGGACATGGGGTTTGGATTGAGAATTGGATGTATTGAACACTTAGAACTCATAACTACAAGTAGCTGAAGTGCTGTCACTAATTCACACACTTGACTTCTCACTACAACACTTGCTAACTCTTCACAGCGAGCTGTATCTTCCCCAGTTGTTGCCTGGTAACAGGCATATATATATGCATATAGCTTTTGGGCAGAACCAATAGAAAATACCACTTCAAATAGTTCTCTGTTTATTGTGACATCACGTGTTTGTTGCAGTGGAAACGTGTTTAGTTCGCCATTGCCTAGCAGCAGATAGCTTCTCTTGTTAACTATATCAAGTCACAATATATTGATCGTCATTTCCCTGGTTCACAGCACTGTCCATTCAGATCTCCAGACCACAGCCTCTCAGAGTTTAATTCGATGGGTAACATGAAATATCAGGTATATTAGCAAAGAGTGGAAACACAAACTGCATTGCTGTGTCATATATTTGATGTTACAACTGGTATGAAGTACAATTATAGTGAAGTGATATGAGATACATGCTTGATTCACAGATTACAAGGATGAGGGTGGTCATTCTAAACAAGTTGTGAAGTCAGCAATAAAAATATGGAAATACTTCTTCATTTATTTTTATCTTTTAATATTCGTTAGTGATAAATCCATAACTCCATAACCATTGAGAAGTGGACTGATGTTTATGTCTGTACACACCAAATTACTAGCTACCTAGCTTAATTGTGTTCTGATACTGTGTTAGTACCACTGTATCATAGAAAAGAATTTTAATGGATCCCACATGAAGTTCTTTCAGTACATCCAACTTACCAAGGTAGATTATGAAGCTTAACACTGCTTGTAATTGACACACATCCTCAGAAGTTGTCTGACATATATTTTATTTGCTTTAGCATCAGTGTTCATAGTTATATTATTATTGTTAAATGAATTGATTTTCTTACAGGTTTTTATGCCAGTATCATTGTCATATTGCTTGTATAATAATAATAATAATAATAATAATATCTTTATTGCTTCAAGAAAAATGTACAGGCGACACAATTACCACAGTTGTAGAAGAAGT